TTGGAACTACAGGCATGCACTAATGTGCCCGGCTAATTTTTTTGATTTTATTGTAAAGACGAGGTCTTGCCAAGTTGCCCAGACTGGTCTTGAACCCCTGAGCTCAGGCAATTCTCTTGACTCCACCTTCCAAAGTGCTGGGATTATAGACGTGAGCCACTGTGCCTGGTCTCAGATTTATTTCAGAATCTTTTCATTGAGCTCCAAAATAATGCCACTATGATTTTTTAAAGAGAGGTTTATTGAGATATATATGTTAAATTTCACCCTTTTAAAAATATACAGTTCATTGAGTTTTGACAGATCTAATGCAGTTGTGTAGCCACCACCACAAGCAAGACATAGAACATTTCCACCACTTTCCAAAATTCCTTCATGCCCCTGGCAACCATTTGCCATTGCCATATTATTAAAACTATGTCAAAGATTTAGGTAGGAGGAAATGGACATATTTACATGAATCTTCTCATCAAGGACCAAACTATGTTTCTTTATTCATTAATACCTTAAATTTTAAAAAATATTATTTTATTATGAATCCTGAGTAATTATTGTTTATTATAGATTGCATATATTCTATAATAGAATAATTCTATTTACTATAGATTTTGTGTGGTTATTGTGACTAATAATATTTTAGTAAACATTTTGATTTCTGCATATTTATAACTGTACACTGACTAGATACATAAAACACTCAAAAGAGAGTTTTAGGTACATTGGCAAACTGGTTGGGGTTGAATGTCTAAAAGCTGTCTTTTGTTTGTCTTGTGTGGTTATTTGTGTGCCAGAGGCACTCTCCAGGGACTATTTACATATATATTCCTAGTACCTAACCTCACATAGGCACTCAAAAAAATGTTGGCTTCCTCAATCTATCAGTGAATGAGTGCTGTGTGCTGCATCCCCTCATGTTCCAGACAGGGCTTTCTGAACATGAAGAGTTAGTGCCTTCTGTGCTTGCATGGGCAGGGGTCCAGGAGTTAGGAGAGAGTCCCTGAGGACAGTAGAGGGAAAAGAAGCCACTCAAAGGCCTGCCTTGCTTTAGACACTAAATGCTTACCTGTCCCTGTCGAGAATGGAACTTACCCTGAAGGGCTTAATGGCCCTGTTGTTCTCTGTAACTAAGAATGCCTTATCAGAGCTTGAGTTGACCAGGAGACAGGCAGAGTTAGCCTCTCTGTTTCAGTCAGTAACATCAGTGACCTCAGCGACCTGATGGCACTAGGACCAGCAGAGGTCAGATGGTCCTCAATCTGGTTTCAACTTGATACCTCAAAATACTTAAATGGAAATACTGCATTGAGCCCTATGAGGCCTACAGTCTAGTCAAACAGCTTATCTCTTTGCTATTTGTTGGAATTGCAACTCATAGAAAAACCCTTGGTATCCCATGCTGAATAGATGTTCTGACAGGGAGGGATAGAAGCGATAATTACGGTGTTTGATTCTTCAAATTGTGTCTCATGGAAACAAAAAGAGCTTCCTGATTTGGGAAAAATTAACTACTTATTATTCTTTCTTTACTTTTTTTCCTTCCCTGTTGGGTACAAATTAGTAGACACTGTGGTATTGGTGGTAGGGAGAGGTCAATATGTGTAAGAATTATTTGGGCATCTTGTTAAAATACAGATTCTGACTGAGGAGACCCGGAGAGGTGACTGCAATGCTGTGTTTTTAGCAAGTCCCCAGGTGATGACACAGACACACTGAGAAGCGATGCCATAGAGACAGTTCTAGTGTTAGCATTGCTAAAAGCTTGCAGGTAAGTACCCACTTGGGCCCTAGTTAATCCACTATTTAGCTCTGGTAAGAAAGAAGGGGAAGCCATTGTGGGCTACCTTCAATATTAACTAAACTTGGGAATTATAAAAACTGAGCAATATCTCTGTGTCATAGTAACAACACTCTTAACTGTGTCCTAGTACTCAAAACTTAAGCCTGTGCCTGTGTGTGCCCAGTGTTTCGTTCCCACTTATGAGTGAACTCCTATGAAGGCTGCAAAACCACCCATCCAGTACCATCCTCACCACTGGGGGTGGGGGTGAGTTTGTGGATGGTAAGCTTATCAAAAGCCCAAACCCCACCAACACACAATATACCTATGTAATAAATTTTCACATGTACCCCTTGAATCTAAAATAAAAATAAAATTCACAAAAACCCAAAAAACTTGAAACTGAAACACAGCCTACATGGGTTCTAAATGCTCTGGAAAGATACACACCAAACACTAAAAAATAGTCACTTCTGAGAAGGGGGTTTAGGCGGCGGGTGGGGAGAGACTTGAGTCTGATCTGTCATGTTCACGTTTTTAAAGAAATGAATCAGTGCATTTCCGACATAATAAAAGATTAATTTTAAAATGTTGAAGATTGAAAGGAAATGTATTCTAGTATTGTTTCTTGGTAGTGGAACAATGGTAATTTTAACTTTTCTGTATAACAAATTTTCTCTACTGAGGAAATGGTGTAATTATGGAAGAAGAGCCAACAAACCATAAAATACATCGAAAAAGTGAATAGAAAATAATTACTCCCTAAGTTCTAAAGATGTTATTAAGAAACACATGGCTGAAGGTTATTGCTTGTATCTCGTTAATGAATGGAAATCACCCATATTGTTCCAGAATAATTCAACTCATAACTACAATGAAAGCTCTAAACTAAGTGGATAAAAAATGCTTGCATGGGTGACTGCTCTTTGAAAGGTAGCTCACATACACATACAGAAATTTAAATTGTGCTATATGTCAAAACAAAAAAGTTTGGGAGATAATGTATAATTTGACATTTTAAAACTTTTAAACTTTAGACAATAAAAGTTATTTTAAAATATCTTATGCGGATACATTTAAAGTTTCAAATCATTTTACTGGGTTCACATTAGCCTCCTAAGTCACATGAATGTTTTACTGGCATTCAGGAAATCTCAGCTCTTACACTTCGGGTATTAGCTGCCTCATTAGGTACTTTCATGCCTATGCATTAGGTACTTTCATGCCTATGCATAAGGTACCCTACAGTATTCTTATAATTATCAAATAAACAGATGGCAGTTCTTAAAATTGTAATTATATAGACAAGCCTAGTGAAAGCATTCTAGCCCATCCAGGTAAAGACTTGAAAGTGATACTCCATGAAAGGCAGCCCCAATTTTGGTTTTCCAAGATTCACAGTAGAAAGGTTGCCCCCCCCGGCACATGGCACCCCTAGCTTTCACTGGAGTCACACAGTCACAAGTGCATGTAACAGTGGAACAAGCAGGGACCTAACTAGAAATTAGGATTCGAGTTTTGTACTGTCATTTTTTGGGACTGTCCCTTGTGCATACACAGGGAGATATGGAAGACATCAATCACCCTGAGGCCTTCTTTCTCGCTTCTCACATCCTGACTTTAAGCCTTTAAACTTGACACTGGAATGAAGAACAAATAAAAGGTTTCTTTAAAAGCTGCTATTCCCTTTCTGGACTATTACACAAGTTCCAACCTGCAACAGCTGAGAATGAGTCTAAGTTTCATCTAAGAGTAAGCTTGCTGCAAAGGGATCCACACAGATGTAGTGTGGCTTTAAACAGACTATCTTTTTAAATATTTGGCATTTTAGATACTTAGTATTTCTCTTGTTAAAGGAGACTAGACTTTTAGTAAGTTTCTCACTTCCCTGACAAGATCCCTAAGAAAGTCATTCCAAACCAACTACTTGTGAGTTGGTTTACATAAACTAAATCTTGCAGTTGCTTACTAAGGAACAGGCTATGGTGTTCATTTGCTAGAGTTGCCTTAAAATACCATATTGGGTGGCTAACACAATAGACATTTATTTTCTCACAGTTCTGAAGCTTGGAAGGCCAAAATCAGGTGTCAGCAGGCTTTTTTTTGTTTTGTTTTTTTCCTGGAGACCTCTCTCCTGTGCAGATGTGTGTCCTAATCTATATTTTTGTTAAGAATTTCAGTTATATTGGATTAGGACTCACTCTAACAGCCTTATTTTAATTACTTTTTTTTTTTTTGAGTCAGGGTCTCACTCTGTCTCCCAGGTTACAGTGCAGTGGCAAGATCACAACTCACTGCAGCCTTGACCACCTGGGCTCAGGCAACGCTTCCACTTTAGTCTCTAGAGTAACTGGGACTACAGGTGCATACCACCACACCTGGCTAAGTTTTTGACTTTTTGTAGAGATGAGGTCTTGCTATGTTGCTTAGGTAGGTCTCTAACTCCTGGACTCAGGCAATCCTCCCACCTTGGCCTCCCAAAGCACTGAATTACAGGCAAGAATCACTACATCCAGCCCTCATTTAATTACCTCTTTAAAGACCTTATCTCCAAATACAGTCACATTCTGAAGTACTGGGATCAAGATTTCAACATACGAATTTGGGGGGACATTTTTCAGTCTGTTACTATAGTTTTCTTTTTTACATACTTTTACTTTGCTTTAAATACTTACTAGGTTTAACAAAAGTATTGAGAAGATAATTTAAAAATCAAAAGTCATATACTATGTGCATGTAAAAACATAACTGATGGATTAAAAAAATCTGTTGTCTAACCAAAATACTTGTTGCATCTTAGAATTTGCTGAAAATCTTTCTGAAAACTTTGCCTAGAGTAGCAACTTCAGGTGGTAAAAGGTTAAGCCCTGACATCCAGGCAGTTACATCTAGAAACAAAAGCCAAGATTCATCCTGTCCCTCAACAATCATTTTCTTGAATGGCTGCAGACCAAAAGATGGGTCAAATGATTATTTCCCCCTGAAACATCGTTTTTCAAGATGTGGTCCTTAGACCACCAGCAACTGAGTCACCCGGAATGTCTGTTATGAATGCAGGCTTCTGCATCCTACCCCAGACTCAGTGAATTTAGCTCTGGCCCTGGGAATGAGCATTTCAACAAGCAGTCCCTTACCCGCCCAGTGGTCTATGGCTCTCTGTTCTGACAGCTGTGTATAACCATCTCTGCCACCCATTCTTTGCCCATGAGAAAGGTCATGCTTGTTTGAGTTGCAAAACCAAATATGTCTTTATTGTCCACACAGTACAATTCAATATACACAGTAAAGTACTCTGTATCACATTCATGATCAATATACTCTTCTTTCCATATGGTATGTCATTGAGAACCTGGCATATCAATTGGCTAAAAAAATAGCACAAAGGACCCCTCGGGAAATCAAACTAGTAGTTTTCTCCAATCAATTTCCTCATCATTAGTCAATCTTCATTAATCAACACTTGAAGACAGGGCAATGAAATGCAAACCTGACAGTGATTTTCATTAACAAAGAAGCCTAAACTTATGGTTTCAAGTATAAAGGTTAATTTGATGACAGAGAGCCTAATTTGACTGTTATCAGTCACCAAGAACTCAGAAGAGCAAAGAACTCAAGAAGAAAGCAAGAATACTATGGAAATTACAGCCATTTCCATGAAATTCAGTCCTACAATCTGTATAAGCAAGAGTCCAAGATGCTGGAGAGGTCCATTCACAAGGGAAACATGCTGGCTGTGCTCTCCTTGCTATGTCCTTCTGCGGGTCCGCTTCTTCACTGGCTTCACTTAAGCCTGGTCCTCTGGTCTCACCACAGCTACCTGGGAGACTCTGGGTTTAATCTTTACAGTTCCAAGAGTCTATCTGGTTTCATTCAAAACAGAAAAGTTCTCATGGTACAAAGGTCATTCTGTAAGTTGCACATATATATAGGCTCCTATGGGAGACAGTTTCCTTCCACTTTAGCAAGAGAATGTTGCATCCACCGATGCTGCTTTGGCTAGCTCTTTTTCCTGTGTGCCCTCATGTGTGCAGCAATTGAACCAGCTATTTCTGCATTCTTCTTGTTCTGGACAAAATAATCTAGAAACTCACCATCTGGTCCAATCAAGTACATTACTATTGTATGATCCACCTGCAGAGAAAAGAGGGGTGTGACACAAAGATTAGCAAAATAAGCTGCTTATTTTACTGAATAAATGCTGCAGGACAAGAGAACTTCACATTAATGCTTAAATAATCTTTTGTAGCATCTATTTTTTATGGAATGGACCTAAGTCTATTATAGCAAATTCAGAGAAACAGATTGTCTAAAATCCTATATTTTCTTGAAATTTGTACTGGCTATGTCATTTGTAACATCAGCTAGAACTTGAAATTCTTTTGGTTCAACCCTTAACACATATTCATTCACATACTCTCAGAAAATTAAATCTACTTCCTAAGAAATGGCTGCTGCAGGCCTTCATGAAGCAGTCAATACTCATGGAACAGCAATGCTTGTTCAGAAACACCTTCATTTTTGAGTGGAAATATCTCATCTGATCCCTTAACCTTATTACAAAGAGCTCTCACATGAAATTAAGAGTGTTGGTGAAAAATTACTTTCTTTATTAAGTTCTTGGATGTATTCCTTTATGTTTGGGGAGAACTGGTTGTCATTCATTACTGCCTAAATTCTCCCTACCATGTTTTATGAGAAGAAACCAGAAAACTAATTAAATAATCTATACATCCTAATAATATTTAGTAATTAGTAATTCAGATTAGTAATTCAAACAGAAAGGAAAAAATAGGTTTTCTTCCCCCAAGGAAATTTTTATATGCTACACTGGACAATCATATCTGAAACACATCATTTGAAAAGCAAATCCTCAGGAGCTATAAAAATGCTAAACCCCCAAGGAATCATCGTAAATCCATCATTCATTTTCCTGGCAAAGTTCTTAAAATGTTCCCAGCTCTAACTTAAGTTTAAACTAGTCATCAGTTTTTTTGTTTAGATGTTTCCACAAAATCCAAATTTAAGTGAGCAGATTTAGCACTCAGAATCCTTGGAATTTATTGCAGGCTCAATTGCTATTTAGTGAGATAAAAAAGAAAGACAGGAATGTGATCACACATGCCAAACTGAAGACACCCTCCCCCCAAATAGACTCCAACACACATTATATGTCTGTGAGGTTATTATTTTTTTTTATACCCACACATTCGTAAGAAGACAGCAAATGGAAAGAGGCACTTGCCTACCCACATAAGAAGAGAATGTACATTAAGAGAGCTCAAACAGCTGGTGATTTCAAGTGCTGTGGAATAATTTACTGCAGGAGCAAGAGAGGAGAACTATGTTTCAGAGGAGAACATTGGATTCAGAAATCAGAATCCAGTCTCCAATTCTCTCATGAAGCCTTATTTCTGTAGCTTACATCTTTCTCCCTGTTTCTTCCTTTTTTCACTATCTCTTTTCTCTATTCTGTTAAAAAACAGCATTATAGTTATGTGGGACTTATTTTCTGAGTGTTCTTAATATAAATTCTTTTCTAGTACACAATAAAAATACTGTTGTATTTGTCAAACTTGTCAGGGGTCATTTATCAATATTCATTTGGGTTGTGGGCAGAGTAAACTCACACTATTCTAATATAGAGGCCTTCTAAGTTCTAGCACTTCCTAGTAGAGAAAAAGGAAACTAGCATTTATTGACAAGTTCTTTCACGTGTCATCATAACCCATGAGACAGGTCTCCTCTGTTACAAATGACACAACAGGTTGAAGAGAATAGCTATATAATTAGTAAGTGTCAGATCTAACCTTAAAACCTAGAATCTGTACAATTTCAAAGTTCATAATCTTTTATCACTATGTTGTCACTATTTCTAACTCTACTGGAGAGAAGCAACTCAGTTTTCTTAATGTGTACTTTTAAAAAAAATAATTGTAAGTTTTTATTTTTTTAAAAGTAATATATGCACATGATTTAAAAAAAGAATATCCACTAAATTTATGCAATCAATGTCTTCCTCCTATCCTGGATTCCCACAGTCCCTCTGTTCTTCTCAGAGGGAACCACTGTCACACGTTCCTTCTGTATTCTTTCAGAGAAAGTCTGCATCTACTACTGTGCGTATATATCTACTACCACCTACTTCTTTTTATACACAAGTAACAATATATGCTACTTTCTTTCTCATTTAATATACTGGACATTGTTCTTTACCAGTGCATATCTAGTAGTTTATTTATTTATTTTTGAGTCAGAATCTCATTCTTTCACCCAGGCTGGACTGCAATGGCACACTCATAGCTACCATACCATCAACCTGCTGGGCTCAGGTGATCCTTCTGTCTCAGCCTTCTGAGGAGCTGGAGCTACAGGTAGGCAACACCATGCCCAGCTAACTTTTATTTTACTTATTTATTGTAGAGACGAGGTCTTGCTAAATTGCCCAGTCTAGTCTCTGGCTCAGGCAATCCTCTTATCTTCAGTTCCCAAAGTGCTGGGATTACAGGCATGAGCACTGTGCCCAGCTTCATATAGAGTAGTTTAAAAAAACAGAATGGTTACTTGGTTTTCAGTCCTTTTTGTAGGTTAAAAGTGGAATCTCTGACCTCAAATGTATTTTGCTTTAAACGTTGAGAGATACTGTCAAATTGCCCTCTGAAGAGAGTTTATCAGTTTAATTTCTACAACAATGCATAAAAGTGGCTGTTGTTCCAAATGCATTCCAACAGTGTATTTCCTGTTTTCCCAATTTAGACAATATATTTGGCAACATATTTTCAAACTTTTTGACCACTGCAGAACTAATAGGTTAAAAAAACCCATCTCACTGTATAATTCACGTTTCTTTTATTATGAAACAGAGCATCTTTTCTTAGGTTTGAAAGCCATTTATATTCTTTCTCCAAAGTATTTTCTAACTAATGCTTACATAATAATGTAATATTATACACAATAATGTGCAGATCTAGCTTTCTATGGAATCCCAAATTGTTGGCATACCCAGTTTACACATATTATCAGATGAGAATTCCATTCAAAAGCCAGAAGCTGACCTTTTGTTGCTGTTGAGATTAAGAAAACTTCATTCCATTACATCTCAAGGTTAACCGTTAAGGCTTCCCCTTACTCCCTGCAGGTCCTGGAATCTTAGCAAAAGTTTCCCAAACCATCTTGTGGATGAAAATCTGTGACCTCAAGGGACAGAAGTCATACTAATGACAAACCTAAGAAGTTGGAGAGTGTCTCCCCCTATTGGACGATTTAGCAAATGTACACTAATGAGTTCCTAATTGATTCTTACCAACAGGTCAAATTCTTATGGCAATAAACCAGTATTTCTCAAAATGGGGCCTAGCATATATTATAAAAGAACCAAGAAGTGTTCATAAAATATGTATATTTTCATTTGTAAGATTAAAAAAATTAATATCCATATTCTGGATTATCTGCATAATGAGTACAAATTTCAGTGTCTATGCTCAATATTTGCTGTTTAGATATACAGAGTGCCAAAAAAAGTATGCACATTTTAAGAAAGGAAAAAACCATATTGAAATTGTAATACTCAATAAGATGACTACAAGTCACATTGTAACATTTGACTTCTACAATTGTAAGAGGTGATCAGAGTGGTTACCATCAGCATCCAGATACTTCTGATTATAGCAAACATCTCTTAAAATGTGTATACATTTATTTGGCACCCCCAGTATATCACTGGCATCCAGCTGTCCACTGCTGGTTACAGGCAGATAACACGAACATGAAGCATTCTCATCGAGTCAACACCAAACAGTCAAGACAGGCTATACAATCAAAGGCTTCAAAGTATTTTGAATAAAAAATGTAGAGAGGCAGTTGAGTATAGCTGTCTGACTGAAACCCTATTCTTGTGGCGAGCAGTATTTTGGTTTCAGCAAAATCTCGTTACTTTAACTGAATGTTTTAAATTTATGTTTCACAGGCTGTTCAGTTTTATTTGTAAAATTTATTTTTGACTTTAGAATTACAAGCTCTAAGCACAAGACTAAGGAGTGTTACTTAGTTTAGGACTGTATATATTCAAACAATTTAACAAAACTATTTAATGCTGGAAGTCAGACTGATTAGCTCACCTGTTCTCACTGTCAGTATCAGTTAAATTCAGAATCAGTTAATACAAGTCTATAGAAAAAGGAAAGAAGTCTGAAAAGTTCTTTTTCCATGGCTTTCTCTCTTGATCACAGCATCCTCTGCTATTGTATCATTCTTCTCTAGTGCAGCAAGAAGAAGCCACAGGAGAGTCCCTCTACTTTCCTTAGACTTGGGGTTTAAGGAAAAATGCTCCTTTTATGTTAATCAATCCAAGTTTCCTTAACTCTATAAGGCAGCAGACCCTAGAAGACAAGATTACTGTGTGGGCTGACTAAGGGAAAGGGGCCAGAAGACCACAGGCTCCAGGGAGCACACAATGTATTCTAGGTTCAAAGGTGACAAAGCACCACAGTGAGATGTCCCTTCTGTATATCAGCCTTGGAATGGGCCATGGGGAGCTGGTAGATCAGTGATTCAGGGTTCTGGCCATCTTTCTTTTTAGAGAACCAGCTCTGCAGCTGAAAAGGTTCTCATGATTAATTGGTTTGCCAAACCAATATAAAAAAGAGCGCATCATAACTGAGAAAAAACCCAACATCGTACCAAAATACAGTGACTATTCTTAATCTAATAGGTGGAAAATGTCTATATTAAGAAGAAAACTGGGTGGACGGGGTGGTGCGTGCATACCTTGTTGGTTCACTGGGAAACCACTGATAAGGAAAAAAATACAGTAACTTGGGCATTAGCCTAAAACTTATGGGGCAGTGCTGATAAATGTGAAGACAGCTCTTTAATGTAAGAGCTACAGAAGTACAACTTAACAGAATTTCTGCTCCCCATCATTAAAATGCATATACTAAATACCTAGTTGTGCAAAGCATATAGTTGATATGCAAATAAGCCTTACAGAAAGTCTGTCTTTTGATAGTGTTTCTCTTTTCTCTTGCTTTCAGAATTCTTGCTTTCAGAATTCTCCTTCAATATAAAAATGCAGTTCCGTGTGGCCTAAAGTTGCTTCTTAAAAAGAGTACGTTTCTTAAATCTCTTCACTGGGGATGCAGGGAGAACCAAACATCGTATTTGGGCAAAGCTTATTTTAGTTTTTTAACTAAAATAAGCTTTGCCCAAATATGATGGCGCCTCTTGATTTCCAACATGGAATCCAAGTATCTGATTTTATATTGCTGTATAATTTTATATGCCACTAGAGGAGAAAAACAGGTAATTAAATTATGAGAACAATGAATATAAATTAAACAAGCATCTTAAAAAAAAATGCTTCTATTATCCTTTCAAATATTCAAAATTTCCAAGGAATTTGCAATACTCTTACTTTTTTTCATCTTAGAAGCCAGTCAATCATTTAAAGCTGTATAAATAGTTAGGATCTGGGAACTGGCCCACGGGTTAAATCTGAGCATTTACTTACTATGTAGTCCTCATCTTCGTCCTTGGGGCCAGGACTATAATACACTCTGAATGCTCTGGCCACTTGACCAATCTCTTCTTCTGTGCCAGTCAAGCCAATCAGTTTAGGAGAAAATTCTAAATTAAAAAAGAAAAAAGAGAGAGAGAGAAAAACAATGCAAAATGAGAAGTTAATAAAACAACCATCTCTACTTCAAAAAGCAGTATGAGTTGTAAAGCAGCCCTACTGTCACTTTCTTCCTATGAGTCCCCACACATTTTTTCATGGTTCAAAGGGAAAGAAATTAAAATACAATAAACGAAAATCTCCTTTGTAATACTTAAATCAAGCCCTTTTATGACTATCTAGTAAAGATCTGGAGGGAATACTTACAAGGTATTTATATCACATTTAAAATTAATTTAGTTTAAAAAAATACATGTAGCTCTGAGGTACACTAAAGTTTAAAACTATATCATGAATTAAGCACTACAGTTTTTCATTGCATTGTATGAGACAAAGTTTGCTTCACAATTAAGCTCATAGCAGCTCAAAAATATCTGCATCTTATTTCCTAGCAAATAATCTCAATATAGGTAATTCGGTTCTATTCTTAACTTCTGATAAAGAGCTGGACAACTAACAACACATCATTCTAAAACATACATTACAACAAAGTTCAGGGCTACGGGTAAATCATTCATAGCATGCATTTGCTGTTAAGTTTTTGGAATTTATGTAAGTGAGCTGGTAGAAGTCACTTAAATCAACTGGATTCATCAGACTACGTTGAAATGACAGCTGAAGAGTTAACAGCTATTCTTTCTTCCAAAGGTATTGAAGACTGTTTTTGTTTTTTGGAGGAATTCATTCTAAATTCAGAAACTGTTCAGGTTCTGAAAAGACAGGATGGCTTGTCTTTCTTTTCTACTGGCTTGGCTTTTCTATTCTGTGAGTCAATGAAGAGAAAGCTGAACAGGGGGAAGGAGGAAGGGATGGAGGGGAAGAAAAAATAAAAAAAGAAGGGTGAGTGAAGCCTGAGTTAGAGGCACATCTAAGCTTTTATTTTTATTTTTTTACTGAACTGCTGAAACTGCAACATTTTTGTAAATACCAACTTAAAATTTTTAATATCCTCCCCCAAATGCAACTAGTAATGATATCATTAATCACTGTATGTATGTGCTGCTGAGAAAAATATCAAAAGGTTTTGGTATTTCAGTCAGGTACAGCAACTCAAATATCTACTCATTTGGGAATATTATGGTTTGGTTAATATGTGATTTACAAATGGCCAATATGTGTTTAAATTTAAGACTGTGTATAACCCAATGAGTTCATAAACACTTGGTATTGTTATTTAGTAAGTAACTATTCTATTGCCCAAATTTGACAAACTTGCCAACTGTGGACATAAATTCTGTTTATATCGTAAAATCTCTAAACTTAAAGAAAACATAAACCTTTGTAACATAGGGTAGGGCAAAGATTTCTTACATACCAAACCAAAGCACTATATCTAAAAGAACAAACTGATAAATTTGAACTTTATCAAAATTAAAAACTGCTCTTGAATGGTACCATTAAGAGACTGAAATGACAAGCCATAGACAGGAAGAAAATATTTACAAATCATATACCTATCTTGTATCCCTAGGGCAAGTTTCAGAAAATTCACCCCATAATATAGTGTAGAACCCCATATATAGAAATTCAGTGTTGACTGGTAGAAAGCAATGAAATCCATCAGTGTGATTTAAGGCAAGATACTGTAAATGCTACAATCTTGGTTCTGAAATACTGTGGATTGTTTCCTGTAAGAAAAGAAGTGGTTCCTTTTGTTTTTATAAATAATATATACGTATACATATACAAAAACAAAGAACCCTATAAAAATGGGCAAAAGTTCTGAACAGAACTTCATTTAAGTCATACAGATGGCAAAAAGAAGCATGAAAAGATGCTTAACATTAACGGTCATTAGTAAAATGCATATTAAAACCACAATGAGATATCAGTAAACACCTACTAGAGTGGCTAAAATGAGCTGGAACTCTCATATATTGCTGGTAGGAATGTAAAAATGTACAACCCCTTGGAAAGGTTTTGTCAGTATCTTAAAAAATTAAACATAAGATCCAGTCATTCCAATCCTAGGGATTTACTCAAGGGAAATAAAAGCATGTATCTACACAAAAAATTGTACAAAAATGCTCTTTGCAGTTTTATTTGTAATAGTCAATAAGTGGAAAATACCCCAATGTCTATCAGTAGACTTCTACTCAGCAATAAAAAGGAACGGAATATGATATATGCTATAAGATACGAAGGACTCAAAAGAAACTGGAATTATTTTTTGGAATGCAGGCCTCTGTAGTACAGGCTTCCCCAGATAGGTATGTGTTCTAGGAACCTATCTGCATTAGTGTACTAGTTAGTACCGTTGTGACAGGTCGCATTTGGCTTCAGTGAGATTTTTTTTTTTGGAGATTCTTTTTTTTTTTGAGTTGAAGTCTCTCTGTCGCCTAGACTGGAATGCAGTGGCACGCTCCCGGCCACCGCAGTCTCAACCTGCTGGGCTCCAGCGATCCTTCTGCTCAGCCTTCTAAGTAGCTGGAACTACAGGCGTGTGCTACTACACCCAGCTAATTTTTTAATTGTAGAGATGAGGTCTCACCAAGTTGCCCAGGTGGGTCTCAAACCCGCGGGCTCAGGCAATCCAACCACTTCAGCCTCCCAAAGCACGGGATTACAGGTTGAGCCACCGAGCCCGGCCTGGAGATTCTTTCAATGCGTTTGCCCACTTCATGATGGGTGATTTATGAGCACACCTGCCCAGACTGCTAAGTGTTCAGCAGTTTTTGGCCTGATCCTCATGCCCACCTTCCCTATTCACCCGATCGTGCCCCAGATGTTTCCCTGAATAAAAAAATTCCTCAAAAGTAAATATTTTGCCAATGTGGAAGAGATGAAACAAAAACCGGCAGAAGCACTACTAAAAGGCATCAAAACTGATGAGCTCAAAAACTTTTTTGAGCAGTGGAAAAAGCATCACCATAGGGTTATTGTGCCACATGGATAATACTTTGAAGGTGATTGAAGTTTAAATATGTCAGAATAAATACATAATTTTTAATAAATAAATTCCATTTTTTTTGCATCTCCCCATACATAAATCTCAAAATAATTATCCTGAAAGAAGCCATTCAAAAAAGACATACATACTATTTAACTCCATTTACATAAGCTTATAGAAAGTATAGACCAACCTATAGTAACAGAAAGCAGTTCAGTGGTTGCCTTGAGACAGGAGGTGAGGAAGAAAGGAATTAACAAGGGCAAACAAAAACTTTTGGGGCGATGGGGGTGTTCATTTTCTTGATTGTGGTGATGGTTTCACGGGCATAGGTAAATTAAAATGTAACAAATTGTACATTTCAACTTTATATACTTTACTCATATTATACCTCAATAAATTTGTTAATAAAATATACAGCAGGCCTTTCAAAACACAAATTTTAAAATAATCTCAGAGTTTTAGAGGATAAGCTTTAGAATGTATCATTACAAGTTAACCATGAATATAAAACTATTCATTAGCCCTTGTGACCAGTAATTAATTAATTTCACCATAATTAAAATTCAAATTCCTGATTTTTAAGCACCTGTTGAAGAAAACTGAGTCCTGAGAAATTAAGCAACTTGTCCAAACTCACAGGTGAATTAGCACCTAAGTATCCACCCTTAATTCTACTATAATTTACAGTCTTTAAAAATGCCTAATAGATTTTAAGTTTCATGTAGAGATGTTTGATTAAAATTCATCCACTGAAAGTTATATGTTTCTTAGAAACAGAAAAAAATCCTAAAATCTGTATAGAGCTATAAAAGACTTTGAATAGAAAAAGCAATCCCAAGAAAAAAGAACAAAGCTGGAAACATCTTACTATCTGACTTTAAAATATACAACAAAGTTATAGTAATTAAAACTCCATGATACTGGCATAAAAACAGAAAAACCAATGAAAGAGAACTGAGGATGCAGAAATAAATCCACATATTTAGAGTCAACTGGTTTTTGACAAAGATACCAAGAAAATATGCTGGGAAAGGATAGTCTCTTCAATAAATGGTGCTGGGAAAACTGAACATTCATATGCAGAATAATAAAACTAGGCCCTAATTTCTCATCATACACAAAAATCAACTCAAAATGGATTAAAGACCTAAATGTAAGATGCAAAACTATAAAACTATTAGAAGAAAACACAGAGGAAATGCTTTAGGACATTGGTATGGGAAGATTTTACAGATAAGGTCTCAAAAACAAAAACAGACAAGTAGGATCATACCAAATTAAAAAGCTTCTGCACAGTAAAGGAAACAATCAATAGAATGAAGAGATAATCTGCAGAATGGCAGAAAATATTTGCAAATCATTCATCCAACAGGGGAACTAATACCTAGGATATATGAAGGACTCAAACATCTCAACAGAAAAAAAATCCAATTAAAAAATGGGCAAATGATCTGAATGTCTGAATAGACATTTCTCAAAAGACATACAAGTAGTGCTTATCATCAGTAATCATCAGGGAAACACAAATTGAAACACAGTGAGATATCGCCTCATACCTGACAGAATGGCTATTATCAAAAACACAAAAAATAAAAAAATGCTTGTGATGATTTGGAGAAAAGGGAATGTTCATACATTGTTGATGGGAATGTAAATTATTACAGTCATTATGGAGACCAGTATGGAGGTTCCTCAAAAAACTAAAAATACAACTACCACATGCTCTAGGAATCCCACTACTATATATCCAAAATAATGGAAATCAGGGATATATAAGAGATAACTGCATCTCCATGTTTATTGCAGCACTATTCACAATAGCCAAGACACAGAATCAAACTAAGTGTCCATCAGCAAATGAATGGATAAAGACAATATGTTACATAAACACAATGGAATACTACTCAGTCATAAAAAAGGTAAAATCCATCAATCAAGGCAATGTGGACAGACCTAGAAAATATTATGCTAAGTGAAATAAGCCAGGAACAGAAAGATAAATACCGTATGTTCTCACTCACACGTGTAAGCTAAAAAGTTGATCTCACAGAAGTAAAGAGTAGAACTGTGGTTACTAGAGGCTGGAAAAGGTAGGGAGATGGAATAGAGGAAGACTGTTTATAGGATACAAAACTACTGCTACATAGAAGAAATAAGCTCTAGTATTCTATAGACCAGAAGGTGACTACAGTAAATATTTTCAAATAGCTAGAAGAGAGGAGTTTGAATGTTCCCAATACAAAGAAATGATTAATGTTTGTCACCCTAATTTGACAATTGCATATTATATGTATCGATGTATAGTGATACATCTGTACTCCATAAATATGTACCACTATTTTGTGTGAATTAAAAAAAAGTTATGTTACTGCCATGTAAATGTTTTGAATTTATAAAACGTGTTGAGTTCAAAATGTGTTTACATTTAATTATTCACCTTTACTCTCCCAGAATATACCAGGGGTACCAAAAAAATGTACACACATTTTAAGAGATGTTATCTATGTATTACTTTTAGTTCACCATAGTCAGAAGTGTCTGCATTCTGATGGTAACCACCACTTTGAGCACCTCTTATAATTGCAGAAGTCAAATTTGACTTGTATTCATCTTTTGCTATCAGTATGTATTGAGTGTTACAATTTTAATACAGTTTTTTCCTTTCTTAAAATGTGTATACTTTTTTTCTGTTCTAATTTCACAAAAGAAAGAATGAGGTACTGAACTGGAATTAGAAGTAATATGTCCTGGGGGGGGGTCCCCTCCCACCCTGGGAGCTTCTCTGTCCTCTCAATAAATCCTCCTTTCTCAAAAAAAATGAAAAAAAAAAAAAAAGAAGTAATATGTCCTTATTCCCATTGGAAGGCTCTGTTAAGTTCAAATTATTCCTGTGACAAAAAATACAGCAGCACCAGCAATTGAGAAACCTGTTTCTTATTTATGTACTGACTAGCCACAGTCACAAATCTAAGCTTCAGCTTTTTATTTGCCTGTAAAATTGGTGATAATACCATTTGTCCTATCTCACAAGGCACTGTGAGGCTCAAATGAATTGATAGTCCAAAAACTGTAAGAGCTAAATAGATGTAAAGTATTATTAATAAAACAAACCTTTCACATAATTTGCGATGGCTTCTTTCGTGTCCCTCTCTGGGTCAATGGTGATGAAAAGTGGAGTTAAATTTGGCAGAGTTGGAATGCTATCTGTAAGAAAGTCCCAATTAGTCAATATTCACACCCTAAAAGACAAAGAAAACCAGCAATGACAGGAGAGTGTGGTAAGTGCTACAGCGAGGTGTTATGGAAACGGGAATATCTTAATATTCAGGTGGAGAGGATGGGGAATGGATTGGGATGCCTCTAAGAGGGGTAGATCCATATATAGTTTACATTGACTAAGATGGAATCAGATACTCATCCTATCAAATACTTGCACCATTGCATAAATGCTGTAACCCAGGATCATATCATGTGGCTATCTTACCTCCTAATTTAATCCAATGTTTGTAGTTCTTCTTGCTCCCAACATATCTTAAGAACAAGCTAAATTATTAATTAGAATTGAATACCCTGAAACTTTTTTTTATTGGTGCTAATAAAATGCCACTGACTGAAGACCATTCCACAGACTTTCTAGTCTAACCATCAGGGATCCTGGAGAAAAGGCAATGGTAGTGTCAGTGATGGAAGGCTACAATAAAGGAAGGGACACAAAAGCAAAGTTAAGGGAGACTCACATCACTCAGACCCTGCCAGTTTTAAGTGATCTTACATTTAGCATCAAAACAAACTTCCTTTGGTGAAAAATAAGGTCATAGGAATCAAGGCAACAAACAAGCCGAATGCTGAGATTTTACGTTTTTACAAACCAAATAATTATGACACCCTACCTAACACAATAATACAAGAATGTGAAAAACACAGTAACATTAAATAAACATATGTTTTATATAGTTAGTGATGGCTTTCTTACCTATTTCATCCACGACTTGAATCATTTTTTCTAGTTCTTCAGGACAAATATCAGGGCAATGAGTGAAACCAAAATAAATCAATATCCACTGGCCCAGGTAGTCCTTGTCAGTTTTAGGCTCCCCAAAATGAGTTGTGAGGGAAAATGGTCCCCCAAGCAAAGGTTTGCCGATGCTTCGCTGCCGTTTCTTCTCCAGCTCTTAAAGAGACACAAACATAAACACCAAAAAAAGTCAGTCTAACCAGAGGTACTCAAATGACTGACATATGGGCAGTACTATACTACCTAGGTACAGGTACAAAATGTGGAAGGAACAGTTTGTTTTCAAGAAGCTTTAAAACATCTTTTTAGAAAAATAAGCATAAAGCAATAAAACAAAATCAAATTAAATGCTATTGTATATAGTAAGCACTATAAAAAGAAAAGTAAAAATACTGCTTCCTCTTCAGGAACAATTCATTCCTAAGCTATTAGGTGTGGTCATGCTGGAGGTGGAGGAGGGGCCGCAGTGGCCTAGAGCAGAATATCTGAACCCAGGTGGGGTGAGGTGGGAGACCTGGCATAGGAAGCCTGATCCTAAGTGTGCAGAGGGCAGCTGTATGTGGAGGGGCAGTGGTGATGGGACCTTAGTTACTTACAGGAAATTGATGAAATAAGTAAATATATTAAAGACAACAGTTACAAAAGGAAAAGAAGTCAACTATGGAAAGGGAGAAAACTAGAATGAACCCTGAAATAAAGACACTGGAGATACTAGTGTGAGTATGGTTTCAATATATATAGACATAAAGTAAATACAGATGTAAATACAGATATCTATGTTCTAGCTCGTTCACTGAGAGGGTCCGGAAGCAGACATACCCAAAGAGCAATGAGCCCAGAACCTGATTTCTAAATATCATTCTCCACTAAAAAAAGTTTGAGCATCAAAATAAAGAGAACTTGTATTAAAATTGAATATATAGGAAACCATGAGTTCACAAATATAAATATGCAAATACATATTGAAAAACCCATATTAACTACACAAGAACAACTTTTTAGTAGAAAAACCCGTTAGACATCACCTTAATCAACTGACCAAATTTAAATGATCATAATGGGACAACTGATATTATGTGGTACCTAACTAGATACAATGAGAACACAGCATTGCTTTTGTGATATTCCTGCCAAAGGTGTATAACTTGAATCTAATCATGAGGAAGTATCAGACAAAAAATTAATGGACATTCTGCAAAGTAACTGGCCTATAATTTTTCAAGCTGTCACCGTCATGGAAGTCAGTTAAAGACTGGGAAATTGTTACAGATGGAAGGGGACTAAAGAGACAACTAGCTAAAAGGTGTGGTTCTGTACCTGATTCTTTTAAAGACTGAACTGTATACAAAACTTGAAGATTGTCTAAAGGTTGAACAGTAGTAACATATGAATGCTAATTTTCTGATTTTGATGGTTGTATTATGGTTATATCCGAAACAGTCATTGTAGAAATCATGCCAATAAATACTCTTAGATTATTTAGGAAGACCTTAATATTATTTTGGAATATATTTTCCTTAATAAAACAAATGTTAACACTGTATTTGAAATTCTAAACTAAAGTAAAAAAAATTACATATTCTGGAGTTTTCCTTCACAACCTATGCCACAGTCATATATATATATGTATATATGTATATATATATATGTATATACATCAGAGCAACTTATATTGCTTATTTAGTAACATCTGTTCATTCTCACTCCCAGATTTAAACGTTACCCTTTGTTTAATGTTGTCAAGAGACTCTAAACACTAGAAAAGATTTAAGCAATATTTTAGATTTACCTAAAACTTTTTTTTTTTTTGAGTTGGAGTCTCACTCTGTCGCCCAGACTGGAGTGCAGTGGCATGCTCCCGGCCACCACAGCCTTGACCTGCTGGGCTCCGGCGATCCTTCTGCCTCAGCCTTCCAAGTCGATGGAACTACAGGTGCGCGCTACCACACCCGGCTAGTTTTTTGATTTATTGTAGAGATGAGGTCTCACCAAGTTGCCTGGGTGGGTCTCAAACCCGCGGGCTCAGGCAATCCACTCACCTCGGCTTCCCAAAGCACGGGATTACAGGCTGAGCCACCAAGCCCGGCCAAGATTTACCTAAAACTTCTAAATCAAATCTTAAGTCCTAGAATATTCACCAAAATTTAAAGTTCTTATAAACAATTTCTAAATGTTTCAAGATGCTAATCCAGAGCAGTTCCTGGCATTCCCTGACCAGGCTTTCTCCCTCATTTATTGGGGTTGGGGATATACAGCATCTACTCACACTATTCCCCATGCCTGACCCCTGGGATGCCTCTTCAAATCCCAAGGTTGGGCCTTCCTTTGGCTCTCAGAGCATGCTAAACTTCCCTCTGGCCTGGAAGAACATCATCTAGTGAAATCCTTCACTGCTGTGTCTGTTTCCCTGTCATGTGTACCTCAGGCTGGACTGCATCTCAGACATCTCATCTTGCCCAGTCAAAACTGCCCACAGTAAATCTTTTAATATTGTTAGGCAGTGGTATCCTAGATTGGATCCTGAAACAGAGAAAAGACACTGATAGAAAAACAAGTGTAATCCAAATGAACTCTGTAATAAACAGTTTTGTGCCAATTTTAATTTCTTAGTTATGATAAATGTGTTATGATTATATAATGTGCTAATACTGGAGAAGCTGGGTGAAAGTCATATGGAAAGAAACGAAGCCATCTTTGCAATTCTTCTGAAAAACTAAAATTATTTCAAAATAAAAATTTTAAAAACAACAAAAAAGATGCTAGTTCATAGTTAGGAAAGACTTTATTCAGAGCTGACCAGATTATATCTACTTACTCTCTTCCTTCTCTTTCTTGAAATACTTCATTCCAGCCAGTAAAGCTCCTCCAACAGCAAATGTGAATGCTAAAGATTTCCAGGAAACAGGCTACTAGGGCAGAGATTTCAAAAATAAAAATCTTAGTAGCATGCAAACATTTAACCACACTAAATTTATTATAATAGTTTTTAATATACATACACACAGGCCACAATCTTGCTAAATGCACAAAATGTTTCCTGGATAAGAAAATGCTGAAAGTTTCTGTGGATGTGGTTATGCCTGGGATCTGTATACAGACAATTACAAAGGAATACATTTGCAGGGGAAAGTTCCCTGAATCAGTTTCTGTTCATGTGAAAAAACGACCCAAAGAAGCTCAAGTACCATAATTGTTAGTATGGGTGAATCTGGCCCCACTTGCTGATTTAAAAATCAATTACCTGCTTATGCTTATATAGGTAATATAATAAAATAAAATAAATAAAATTCGGGACGCTAACCTAATTCTGGCTTCCAGAAGCAATAAACCTAAATAAAGTAAAAGAGGAGTCTAAAAGCGGGCCTTCTTGCGAATTACATCCATGATTTCTTTGTGCTCTTTTTCAAGTCCCCAATTAAGATGTTGGCCACATAGGATTAACTCATTAACCTTTCCCCAACGCTGAAACCTACTTCTCTTACTTATCAGTAGAGGATAGTGACTCAAGTTCTTTTGGGGTCAGTACTAGAACTAAAGATGAATCCAAGAAAAAGGCATACCCGTATGTAAATAGGATCTACTTTTCGTTTAAGTGTCAACGTATACAAGGAACCTGTGAAAGGGGTTCAAATGACAGAAATCATAAAAGTGCTCTGACTACTCAATCATGCTAAACTTAAGGTTCAGACCCTTTAGAAAACTTGAAACACACACACACACAGCCGCAAAAGTATACACAAAATATAAGTCCGGGTATCTAGCCATGTGGAGAAGTGGAGAGGGTGTAGTTCTCAAGTTCTCCCTTAAGGACTGGGACGACCAGGAAAGCAGGGGAAACGCGGGACAAGACTCCAAGACCCAGTAAAGCAGCAAAATTGGGGACAATTTTAGGCTGGGCCCAGCCGTGTCTGAGGTTATGACCAAGTGGGATGAGAAGGTCATCGGGCGGGCTGTCCACCGCGACGAGCACTGGAAGGGCTCCAGGTGTGCACTCACCCCGGGCTTCGAGGGGCGCGTGGGGTCTCCGCGGCCGGTTTGCTCAGGCCCTGATGACCCTGGGGGTGGCGGCATCGCTGTGCTGAGGGCCCGGCTTCCCAGGCAGCTGCCAGCGAGCCCCGAGGCACGCCACACTTCATGCCGCGCGCAGAACTGCCTCAGCAGGATTCTCGCAGTCCCCTCGGCCGGGCCCCAAAATTCAAGCCCGTGAGGCAAGAGACGCCAAAACTGGCCACCCAGAGGCCGCGTAATTCGGCCGGGTACTCGCAAAAGACCCGCCATCAGCTTAGGAGACCGCACCTCATTTGACCAGTCCTCCGATTTCCGGTACCTTACGCTTCCGCCGGAAGTCAAAAGGAGCCTCTCTATCCACTCCGCTCGATGGTGGCACGGTCGCCTAGCTGGTAGTCAGGGAGCCCTTTGCGGAGGGTCCGGTGCGCGGTAGGTAGGTAGCTCCTTGCTGCCGGAGGCGGGTGCGGTGCAGCTGGGCGGAGGCTGTCCAGTCCAGGCGGCCTGGGGTGGGCAGCGGGGCCCTAGGGAAGGGTCGTCCTCCGGGGTCCAGGCAGCGATGCTAGACAAGGCCGGGCGGCCCTGAGCGGCGGGGACACCCCACTCTGGTCAGAGGTTTTGGCGACCCAGCTAGCTTCTCGCCCCGGGTGCATCCCCAGGTCGGAAGAGAGAAAACTCTGCCCCGGAGACCGGCAGAACTAGTCATCTTGTCACCTTCCTTCTGTCAAGTCTGAAGGCTGGCCAAGAGGAACTGCAAAGTTGTTGACTCCTTTGCATACTCAGAGTAGAAATAGCCCCATTGAGCTTGAAATAAACCTTGATTTACCCCCTCTCCCCAATTGCTTCTTAGGATAATTTGAATGGTTAATATGGCATGCAAGTCTTGAAGTGCCCCGCGCTTCTAGTCATTTTACCTACGTTATATAATGTAACCTAGTTAGTAAAGCATAGCAGTGTACGAAGAAGTATACTGCATGATATCTCATCCTTTAACTTAGTCTTCCTGGGCCTCAGTTTTTAAAAATACTTTCACTGGCTCCCCTGACCCCTTCAGTTTCATGATTTGAAGTTTGTTTAAAGGGTTCCTCGTCTAGAATTGCTTGTTACTTGGGTACATCCACATATTAATGAGGCTAAGAGCATTTATTGGTTTATTTTTCGTTTCCTGTGAAAGTTAAACTCGCATTCTATCTGCCTTTATGTCTCAATATCTGCAATGCTAACCCCCTACCCCCATCCGTGGTGGATTTGCCAAAAGAAAAGAAAAAAATTTCTAACTCTCTTCCTTAACTACAGATCCTACACCTGTGGTGGCTTTTTTTTTTTTTTGTAAAGGGACTTCTACTGACAGAGGCAACTTGTGTTCTAGTGATTGTTGAACTGAACGTGGCTTTCCCCCCGCTTTTTTCTGTGAGCTAGCCTAACTAGCTAAGTGTGCTGCTCTCTAATAACGATTTAATGTAGTGTTAACTATGTTTCTAGATTCGAAGTTGAGCTGGAATTTGCTGAAATTTCTGCTCAAAGTTCTTAAATGTTTGCTTAGCACTTCAAATCGATAATCAAACTAATTTTTCTATCTTAAGCTTGCCTGTGGGTAAGATTTTTACCCTTTTATTGTTGTGTATTTGTTTATCCAGAGAGACTTTTTTTCTGTAAGTGACAAAAAGTTGTAAAAGTATCTTGCCCATTCAGGCAGTTAGCATTAAAATTTATTGTTTATCTCTTTAGTTGCTTAATTGTAGGTTAAGAGTGAACATACATAAATTAAAATTGAATTCAGTGTATCCAGCTGACCTGTTAAATTTTATTTTACCAAAGTGCTTCTTTTTTTTTTTAATTTTATTTATTTATTTTCTATATTTGGAATTAAAAAAAAATTCAAAATGCTTTTTTTAATAGCTTTATCCTTTGTTTACCAAAGCACTTCTTACAGATTCTTCATATTAACTCTTTAATATTAAATAAATACTAGTGTCTAAAATGGTTCCTGGCTCAATATAGTTGTTCTATAACTATATTATTTGGATGAATTGCTAATAACACCACTGAGCCTGGTTTCGTGGACCTGTAAAACTTTAGTGCCAAAAGGTACGTATAAAGTATTACTTAGTTGTAAGCCTTATCACTTTTGTTACTATTATTAAGTCACCAAAGTCACCAATTGAGGTTTTTGTGTGTGTGTGTTTTTAAATTTAGATATGTTTCTTGACAGTGACAGGGTATGGATTAATATCATCTGGTATTTGTTCTATCTGTGTTGACTAGGCTGATCAGATTTTGTGCTTGATGGGACTTTGGGTTGGTTTAACTAAGACAGCTAGGTCCTTTTTGTGAACTTCCTGGCACTGCAACATGTTTACTTCAACTTAGATCGACACTCCTGCCCTCTGTACCTAACCACAAACATTTCCTGCCCCAACTTTCCTTTTATTGCAATATTTAAATAGTCAGGGTTTAAGACATCCCCCCTTTCCTCTTTCTGTTGGTCTCTGCTTTTTCTTTAAATTTTAGAAGCGCTTAAAAGATTTTATATAGACATTTTAAACATATATAAAAGTGGAGAAAGTAGACCACATGCACCCATTACTAGCTTCAGCAATTGTTATCCTTTCCTCACCGGTTTTGTGTGTGTGTTTGGTAGAGGAGGGGATATTTTGAAAAAGTTCCATGACATTAGAATGCTTATTAATTTTAAGTTTCTTCACGCAGGTGACGTTGAGTTTTTGATATCTCTGTTCACCAGGACCAGTTTATATGAGCTCCCTAGCATCTCCCTGAACCATAAACTAAAAGGCTAAACGCCAGAGAGTCAGTTCCTTGCCTACTTGGTTCTTTTTGCCCTGCTTAACTCACTTCTGATCCTGATTTTCTCTCTGAATATGTTTCTGAAATCTGAAAGGCTTCAAAATCTGAAACCTTTTGAGCACTAACATGACACTCAAAGACAGTGCTCATTGGAGCATTTTGGATTTTTGGATTAGGGATGCTGAGCTGGCAGGTATAATGCAAATATTCCAAAAGGTGAAAAAAATTCAAAATCTGAAACCCTTCTGACCTCAGCATTTTGGATAAGGGCATACTCAAACTGTATAAATTTGTTTTTGTATTTCAAAATAATTTCTTTATGTAATAACATTGCAAGTTGCCTCCCTAGCCTAGCTTTATTTTTTAAGGCCATACATACCCCAGAACACATTGCTATTTTGAAGTGTGGGTCCCTTGGTGGTGCTTAAAAGTTGCCAAATCTTAGTATAAGCTCTCATTTATACACCACTCATATATATTTACTAACTTTATATCTAGTGAGATTTTCAAATAGGGACTATGGGAAGAAATGAGCAAATTAAAAACAAAGTAGCATGAGAATGTCAAACTGTTTAAGGATTTCCATCTCTTTTTTGGGTACTGTTTCACTTATTTGGGCTAGTAATATCCAGCCAGATTAAGAAAGAAAGGAAAGTAGTTGAGGCTCATAATTGGGTGGATTAGAAAGAGACTATATCATGGGTGTCAACACTTTTGGAATGAAAAGAGGCCCCTAATTCTCAAATAAGTTGAAATCCTTATTCCATTTGTGGAGTTCTTTTCTCTATGATGGGAGCATTCTTTTTTTTCTTTTATTTATTATTATTTTTTATTATAAAGATGTGGGGTACAATTCAGGGGTAGGTATACAAACATTGATTATGCAGGTACCCTTGCTAATGAGGTATGCCCCTCCCTCCCCTAGCAGGTTCCCTCAACTACCAATCCCACCCCCCCATAGTTTCCCACTACTGCCAGTTCCTTTCTTATAGTATTATAACTGTTCAAGGTCTGCTTATAAGTGAGAACATATGGCACTCTATTCTTTGTTTCTGTGATAGACTCTAAATCCATCCAAGTTGTTGTGAAGTACATATGTTTGTCTTTCTTTATGGCTTCATAATATTTCATTGTGTATATGTACCACATTTTTTTAATCCAGTCCTCCTTCAATGGACAACATGGTTGGTTCCATGTTTTTGCTGTTGTGAACAGAGCTGCAATAAACATGTGTGTAGGTATCTTTTTTGTAGAATGATTTGAGTTTCTCTGGGTATGTTCCCAGTAGGGGAATTGCTGGGTCATTTGGAAGGTCAATTTCTAGTTCTTTCAGAAATCGCCACACTGTCTTCCCAAGAGGTTGCACTAGTTTGCATTCCCACCAGCAGTGTAGGAGCGTTCCTTTTTCTCCACATCCTCGCCAGCATCTGTTGTTGCTTGTTTTATTAATGATGGCCATTTTTACTGGGGTTAGGTGGTATCTCAATGTGGTTTTGATTTGCATTTCTCTGATGATGAGTGAGGCTGAGCACTTTTTCATGTGTTGTTGGCTGCCTGTATATCTTCTTTTGAGAAGTGTCTATTTATGTCTTTTGCCCACTTTTTAATAGGACTTGTTTTTTTCCTTTCGGCGCATTTGAGTTCCTTGTAGGTCCTAGATGTTAGGACTTTGTCAGATATACAATTGGCAAATATTTCTTCCCATTCTGTGGGCTGTCTCCCTGCTCTCTTGATGGTTTCTTTTGCTTTGCAGAAGCTTGTTAGTTTGATGAGGTCCCACTTGTCTATCTTATTTCTTAAGATATTGGCATTTAGTGTTCTGAATAGGAATTGGTTGCCAGTTCCAATTTCTATAAGGGTATCTCCTGCGTTTTCTAAGATTTTTACAGTTTGAGGTTTTATATTTAGGTCTTTGATCTGTTTAGAGTTACTTATTTGGTATGGTGATAGGTAGGCATCCTGTTTCAATCTTCTGCATGTGGTCAGCCAGTTTTCCCAGCACCATTTACTGAATAGGTTCTCCTCTCCCTGGTGGTTGTTGTTGGAGGTTTTGTCAAAGATGAGTTGGTTGAGAAATTGAGGCTTTGCTTCTGGAATCTCTGTCCTGTTCCATTGGTCTATGTGCCTGTTTTTGTACCAATACCAGGCTGTTTTGATTACTGTAGCCTTATAGTAAAGTTTGAAGTCTGGAAGTGTGATACCTCCTACTTTGCTTCTTTTGCTAAGGATTGTTTTGGCTATTTGTGGTCGTTTATGTTTCCATATGAATTTCTGTATTGTCATTTCCAGGTCTGAGAAGAATGATGTTGGTAACTTCATGGGTATTGCGTTGAATCTGTAGATTGCCTTTGGTAGGATGGACATTTTAACAATGTTGATTCTTTCTATCCATGAGCATGGAATATTTTTCCATTTGTTTGTGTCTTCTTGGATTTCTTTGAGCAGTGTTTTGTAGTTCTCATTGTAAGGGTCTTTCACTTCTGTGGTTAGGAAGATGCCAAGGTATTTCATTTTTTTTGTGGCTATTGTGAATGGGATTGTGCTTTAATTTGGGTCTCTGCCTGCTTGTTGTTGGTGTATAGGAATGCAACTGTTTTTTGCACATTTATTTTGTATGCTGAGACTTT